TAGAAAATAATTTTCTAGCAAATAGGACCAAGGAAATAATTTCATTTGGTCAATGTTTTTCTTCTTGCACACTTAATCCTTTTCTTCCATTTTCCCTTTTTAATGTTTTATATTTTTGAATAGGCAATACATGCACTAGGTACAAAATTCGAAGTATCCAAGATTGCTGATTCGGAGAGAAGTTACCTTCTCACTACACCCTCCCACCACTGAGTCCCTTACAGTTTCTAGTTTATGGTTTCTTCCAGAGCCATTTTAGATACATAGAGGCAAATAAGTATGCATTTGTCTGATGCTATTTTATACCTTGCTTTCTAAACTTTGTAATCTTTCCACATAAGTACATAAAAAGCAGCCTCAGTTTATTAATGGATACATACTATTCAATCTTGAGAATATATCATGATTTTTAAATTAAATTTTTAATTTTAATGCCAGTGTAGGGGCACCTGTGTGGCTCAGTTGTTAAGCCTCTGCCTTCGACTCAGGTCATGATCCCAGGGTCCCAGGATAGAGCTCCCCATCAGGATCCCTGCTCAGTGGGAAGCCTGCCTCTCCCTCTCCCACTCCCCCTGCGTGTGTTCCCTCTCTTGCTTTGTCTTTCTCTGTCAAATAAATAAATAAAATCTTTAAAAAAAAATTCCAGTAAACATATAAGTTTATATTTGTTTCAGGTACAATTGTTTTTTTAAATAAGACACCTCTTGATTGACATGTAAGTTGTTACCAGTATTCTCTACCACCGGTAATGCTGCAATGTATTGGTAATTTTATACATGTGCTAGTCTATTTGTAGGAAAGATTTCTAGAAATGGAATTGTAGGATTAACAGGTAGTGACAAATTTTGGAAAAATGGTTTCATAAAGATTATGCTCATTTTCACTCCCAATAGAACATATGTGAATACCTGTTTATTGGTATCTTGCCAATAATATTTCCTTTTTTAAAGATTTTATTTATTTATTTGAGAGAGAGAGAGAGAGAGAGAGCAGAAAGCAGGAGCGGGGAGGGAAGGAGAAAGAGAAGCAAACTCCCCTGCTGAGCAGGGAGCCTGATGCAGGACTTGACCCCAGGACCCTGGGGTCATGACCTGAACTAAAGGCAGATGCTTAAGGGGAGCCACCCAGGCACCCCTTGCCAATAGTATTTTATTTCCTGAGGTTCTAAAATGAATAAAGGAAACCCTTTAAGTAAGTGTAGATTCATCTAATGGTCTAACCCAGGAACGAGAATTTTTTTTTTGCAGAAAGTCAACACAGATGATTGCTCTATGGGATCTCTTCTCTCCAGGCAGGTTGGCACTGCAGCATTCATTGTGGGTCTAACCCCAGTGCTGTTCTGAACCCTAGAAGGCTTTGCCAGTCTCCAGAATCATTTCTCTCCTGCTATAGAGTGGAAGACATCCTGTTGATTCTACAAATACTTACTGAGCACCTACCATGCATGAGGCATTCTTTTAGTGGCTTAGGGTTAAACAATGAATAAAACAGACAAAAGTCCCTGTTGCCATTTAAGATTACATTATAATGGGAGGAGGCACAAGGTAAACACAATACACAGGTATGACACATGGTATGTTAATTTATAAATGCCTTGGGAAAAAGAGAGGAGGAGGGAATGGGGAGTATGAGGAGCCACTTTCGTGGAGGGTGGTTAGGTAAGGCCTCATTGAGGTGACATTTAAGCAAGTATCTGAAAGCAGTGAAAAAATGAGTAAGGTATCTGAAGGAAAGAACAAAATAAGCTGGTAGTACGTCTGGTATGTCCTAGAACAGCAAGTTAGACTGCTGTTTAGAGCTTAGTGAGCAAGTGGAAGAGGAAGAAGTGAGGTCAGGGCGGTCAGGGGATTTGAGTAGCAGGTCAGATGGTATAGGTCCTTACAGTGAAATAGGAAAACCATGGAAAGTTCTAGTGGGTTGTTCTGAATGCTCTACTGAGAAAAGACTGAGGGAGGGCAAGAATGGAAGAAGGGAAAACCAGTTAAGAGACTTTCTGTAAACGAGGTGAGAAAGGAGATGGGTCACCCTCGGCTGGTAGCCATGGAGGTGTGGAAATATTTGAACTATGGGTCTGTTTTGAAGGAACGGCTGGCACCATTTGGTTAGATTGGACATTGGAAGTGAGAGGAAAAGGAAGCAAGAATGACTCGAAGGTTCTTGGCTTAAAGAAGTAGAGGATGGAGTTGTCATTTACTGGATGGGGGAAAGAAAGAATGCAGGCAGATCATGTTTTAGGGTGAAGATGAGTTGCGATTTGGTTTGTGATTACCATGGCTTTCTGTGGCTGGGGTTCTCAGATGGCCAGGGTTCCAAGTTAAATTAATGGCCTGGACTAGACTATGACTGACACGTCTTCTTGGGATGAAGACTCTAAGGAATACTGCCCATGGGCATTGTCTTCCTGAGCTATCCCGTTCCAAAGCAGATTTGCAGTGAGCTATTGTATTAAATGTCCTTACATCTTTTTTTCATCTGTGAAATATTTAATCAAAGGGATAGGAAAATGCACACACACACACACACATCAACACACATAACTAAAAACGTTGAAAACGACTCGAAAACCTGATTTCCTGTCTGCTTCATATCCAGTAGAACATGAGCTTCTATTAGAGGACTCACTGTCCTCCAGAAATCAAAATTCAATTCAATTCCACATTTGTGGGTCTGTGATATTACCAAGCCCCCAGCTCCTAGGAAATGCCAGGCTGGGCTGGTAAAGAAACCACACCAGGGCAATCTGAAATGTGCCTGATTGAAGACTGTAACCAGGAATTCACTGGACAAATAAATAATTCAAAAGAAGGATACACTTAAAACAGTCGTAGCTTAAAGCATCTGATGAAACAATACCTAAAATGGAATGAATATTTCAGCAAACACATGGAAAGTGAAGGGGAAAAAAGCCAGTATTTTAACTCTTATTAGCGGGAGGAAAGGAAAACAAAACACAAGAACAGAAACTCATATATAGGAATTATTTCAAAAGGCTAGGAAGAGATTAGGGGAAATAAATTTTTAAACTGTGCCCTTGAAGGGGGGGGCGGAATCTATAAGGGGTTACAATGCATGAGCGCAGAGAGCTGTATTTTTTATCTATTCCACTCGCGATGCCAGCGGGTAGATCAGAAAGAAAACCAAATGCTAGAAGAGAGAGAGTAGCTAAGGAAATCCGAACTTGTTTCAAACCAAGTTAAAGTGGTGGCCAGACTAGGTGACTCAGAGGCATGACTCAAACCCGACACTGGGGGCCGTCAGCTCCCGGAGGCCGGGGGCGCGGCGTCAAACACATTTTAGGAAAGTACCAGGCTCGAGGAAGGCGACAGGAAACCTCCCCGGGGGCTCGGCCTGGGGCTCCTCCTGCCCTACAGTCTGACCTCTTACCATCTGCACCAAGAGGAGTTTCTCATCTCCTGGCTTCCCCTTCTTTTTTTACAGCCCGCCCATCCCGCCACCCATTTTTCTCCCACAAAGTGTCACGCGGCGTGTGTGTGCAAGACGTCGTACCCCCTTCCAGCGGCCCTCCGCCTAGAGCTCCCCGCCACGCGCCCACCCGCCCCGCCTCCGCGGCGAGTCCCTCCCTTCCCATCCCGCCCGCCGCCCGCCCCCAGCCGCCCGGGCACGCGCGGCACGAACAGCGCCGGGAGCTGCACTAGACAAACACCTGTCCCGCCTGGACTCCGCGAGATTTGGGGGCGAAAGCATAGGCAACAGTGGGCGCATTCTCGCGAGGTTTAGGAAATTTCCCACGGCCCGTGTTGTGTCTGAGTTGAGTAGTGGAAGGCGGTGGGAAGGAGGTGTAGCGTGAGACTGACTGGGCTGCCCGCATTGGGCACATGCGCAGTGTCGCTCGCGTGTGCCGCGCCAATCCTGCGGCGCCTTCAGCAGGTCTCCGGCAGAGAATTCCAGTTCTCCGGGTTTTGGGGCTCCCTACTGGAGGCAGTGCTCGATCTGGGAATCTCTAGGAATTGAAAGGGCAAGGCTAGCTGGGGTGGCAAGGGTGGAGAAAGGGATGTGGCAGGTAGGAAGGAGGGGTCAGGATTCGGGCCCTTCTCCTTTCTATTAAATGCCCAGACGGACCAAGTTGGCTCCGGGGTTTCCAGGCTTAGGTTGCCTGAAGTGCGTTTCCGGCAGCGACCAGCGTCCTCGACTGTGTCAGGCCCACGGAAGGACCCGGGCAGTGTCTGTCCCCATTCCACCTGCGTTCACACACGGCTGGGGACGGCGGTGAGGTGCTGAGGAGGCTCACACAACAGGCAGCTCTCTGCCCCAGGGACACCCGTGGTTTGAGTGCGGGTGCGGGCCCAATTCCAATGCAGATTTCACCTCTAGAGAAAACTACGCGGCGCTCTGGCATGCATATACGAAGTGGACATTAGGGGTGTCTTTGCCAGAGGCCTTGGCTTGACCTCATTTCACACTCAAGGAGAAGAAATCTAAGTCCACAGAGCTCAACTGCAAAAGTTTTCCATTTACAGAGCTCTGACAGGTCAGCCCACGTTGTCATCTTGTCTGTGCGCAAGCATGGGGGTTCGAATAGAGCGAAGACAGTTCTAGGTTTGTCAGTCGCCGAACTCCAGGCATCTCTGTAGCTCCGGCATCTAAAGCCGACATTAGCATAAGGGAGGTGTCCAACGAACGTCTGAATGAATGAAAAGGGCTGGGAACCAGAGTGAGCGGGAAGCCACTTGGAAAACACCCATTTGAGGAGGTGTTTCATCTAGGCCTGTGAAACGCGGCAGATTTTCCCAGGACCCCTCCTCCCTTCCCCTCGGCCCCGCCTCCTGACCCCTCCATTCCCCGTCCCCGTTGTAATCCCCTCCGGTTTTCCTCAGTCTCCACGTACGTCCCTCAGGGCGCGTCCCAAAACCCGGATAACCGGAGCACTCCCCATGGACTACACTGAGGGCTCGCCCGCGGAGGAGCCGCCTGCGCATGCTCCATCGCTTGGGTAGGTTTCCAGGGAAGGCAGCGAGCAGGATCCCTTAGTCCGCGGGCGGCGCGAGGCGTCTGGCTCTTCGCGGCGGCTGCGAGGGGAAAAGAAGCGCGGGGGCTGGGTGGAATCGAGGAGTGAGGAAAAAGGGAAGGGGCGGGGGAGAGGGACCAGGGAAGGCGTCAGGGGGAATCTCGCGAGGGTTGGAGTTTTGGCGAGAGTTTGTGGAAGATGGCGCCTGTTGTGACAGGGTAAGTCTGGGGGAATCGGAGCGCTGGGAATCGGGAAAGTTGCGGGCGTCTCGCAGCCCGCGTTGGGCGGCGTGTTCGGGGCAGCGGCGCGCTTGGCGTCCGGGGCCGCGGGGGCGGCGTCGCGTGCGTCGAGCGCGGCGGCGGCGTGTGGCCGTGCGCTGCTCGCTCTGCGCCGCCGTGGCTCGGGCTCCGGCGCGTGAGGGCGGGCGGCGGCGGCGGCGGCAGCGACGCCGGCGGGTGCGGGCGTGAGTGCGGCCGGGCGCGCGGGGCCCGCGGGCGCCGTGCGGGTCGCGCGCTTCTTGCACCTCCGCCCGCCTCTAGCGTCTCCGTCCGCGGGCCCGTATTCCGGCCCCGCGCAGCTTTGTTCCTCCGGGCGGTCGTCGCCTCCTCACCGGGCCGGTGTCCCCGGCCCCGGGCGCTTTGTCTTCCCCGCTGCCCCCCGCGACTCTCTACCCCCGGCCCTTTGTTTCACCGCCTTGGGCGCTTTGTCCGACCCGGCGCGCCCCGCATCGCTTTTCCATCTCCTCCCCTCAGCTGTCCTTCCTCCCGTGCCCCTTTGTTGTGCCCTTTGCTATTCCGTAGCTCAGTGACCTGCCACAGCCCAGGCACCAGATTTCTGTCTTTTAATTTTTCTTCCATTATTTTTCTCACGTGTTTTCCTCTCACCTTTCGATTTGGTACTTGATCACTCCCGGAGTCTTTGTCTCCCCCATTTAGTGGCTTTTTCACTTGGCACCCCCTTCCCCTCCCATCATCGGTTGATTTATCCACTACCCACGGAGTATGTCGGCTGAACTGTCTCAGCCTCAGGGACTCCATCTGGTGCTTCTGCGCGCAGACAGACCCTACGGTTTGTTGTTGTTTTTGTGGGTCTTAAAGAGGCATGGAGATAGTTTCCTCCTCGGCGTTCCGCACCCTTTTCTCTCGGGATTATGTGTACACGCACACACACACGCACACACACCTTTCTCTCGGGATTACAATGTCTCTAGTTTTCTTCGCGATCTCTTTGGGCGCATGGTTGTTTTGCTTGGAAACAGTAGCCCTGGAAAAAGATCTAGTCTTTTGGTTATTGCTCTTCCACCCCCGCCCCCTTTGCCCTTAGGCCGTTTCTGATGGCCTAGGCCAAGGGCAGCTGTCGTAGATTTGCTTCTGGGTGTTGTAGGAAGGTTAAAAGAGGTGCGAGGTTTGTTTTTGTTTTTGTTTTGTGTTGGTGTGTGAGACTAGTTTCAGATATCCACGTTAGCTATTCATTAGGTACGTGAATAGTAGTAGCGTCAATTTTGATGTTAAAAACTTCTGAATATTCGTGCGGAAAATTTCAGCATTTTCTAGACTATAGGTCTAAAGTTAGTTATTTTACCATTAACTTCTGCTCCCTAAGGAAAAGGGAGGCATCCTTTTTGGGAGTTTGATATAAATGTTTTACTTTTTCTTCATCATTAGTTTATAATTATCTACTTTTGCTCTGTAGAACGTGACAATCCTTCTGTCCCGTCTTTGGAGTTGAAATGAGGAACACGCTTAAGAGTGCAGTTTCTGGTTGATGAATACTGCTTCTAGAATCTTTGTGGAATGCATTAATCAAATGCAATTAAAAGACATTTAAGTAGTAGTCTTAAGTAAGGTGAAGTCACTTCGAATGTTAAAGGAGCTTTAAATTGTTCACAGTGCTTATTGTTATGGTAATGTAAAAACTGGGAGTTGTGTGCGTGGGGGAAGGGTGGTGTGGTGTATTTAAATAGCCTGAGTATTCTGGTACTGGGGGTTAAGAAGTATTCAATTTACCAGGATTACTGGATTGGATATATTGTTCAAAAATTGGTCCCCCCCCTTACTAGTTGATCACTCATTTTAGAAGTTGTGTTAACAAAATCATGTGGAGTGTCATTTCCTTTATAAACTAAAGTCCCACATAAAGTGCTGCTAGTAGAGGATGTACAAGATTTAGTGTGAGGAATGTTGTTAAACATTTTTTTTTTTGAAGGCTGCGATTGGAATTAGTAGTTTGAATTTTATTTAATGGAAAATCTTGTTTCCTAATTGATACGTGAGGGTTTTGTGAAAATTTGCAGTCTGGGTTCCATGAGTGGATTTTACCTGTAATCATTTGTCTCCTGTACTTTTTCTTTGTGCATAATCATTCTTTTGAAGGTAAAATCTTGACTACACTTCTTCTGACTCTGAACAAAAATGTAAATATAGTGTAATGGAATGTATTTTGTTCTGACTTGTACATTTAGGAATGATCACACAAAAATCATAAAAGCAACTTTTACAAACTGAGTTGTGTAGGTTTTTTTGTTTCTAAATTGAATTAAGACCTTTATTTTGTGATCATATGAAACAACGCTTTTACTAAATTATATCAAACAGCAGCATATTTAGAACATACCGGGTCAGTTGTGGTTGGGACACTTTCGTTCTGATTAGTGACTATTAAAGCTTTAAATTTATTGTCCAGGTATATTGCAAATGGGTCTGCATGGTGTTCTCAGAAAAAAAAGAAGATGCTTACTTGTAGTATTTTCAGATCTGTTCTAATACATGCTTCTGTGTATTGGATTATTTAAATTAGGTTATTAAAAAGTTACCTTTTGTCCGATAACAACAGATTTCTGTCCTTAAAAGGGTAAGATAAAAAATGGTTTGGGAGAAAGCCACTCTTGCCAGCTGTACATTAAATAATCTTTGGCACTCTGGTTGGATAAGGTATTAGGGAAAAAATGGTGCGTTTGAAAGTTTTTACTAATCTTAATTCTAGGATTGGGTCATTTTAAAAAATAAAGTTTAAAAACCTATGATGTGGCTTTAAAACATTTTTTTGCTTCCTCCTAATACTAAATTTCATGTTATTTCAACTAGGGGCAGTATTTTCTCATGGATTGACTAAAAGTTGTTATTCTTGGCATCTGGCTTTATGATTATTTCCAAGTTACTCTACTTCCCCTGGGCCAATTTCCTAACTATGTAGTAAAATGGGAATTGTAATAACTTGCCACATCTGCACAGGATTGCTGTGCCTCAGGATTTGCAGAGAGCATCCTTGGATGAAAGGTGTGGTTAAGGTCTAGGAATTGTTACTGAAATAAGCTGATGTGAAGTAGGTCATATTTTATAGGAAGTCAAGTAGGAGGTTATAAACGAAGTTCTTGGCAAGTTACAGTGGTGATAGTGGGATGAAAAAAATAAAAATATGTATTATAGTTTGGGTAATAAAACCAGTACATTTTTTCCCCTATAAGCTTAGAGGGAGAGGGATTAGTAAAACAAATTACAGGGTGGTGTATTTGTTGTATAAGAAATTGAAAATCTGTCAGACTCATATGTAATAACACATTGTAAAATTATGGGATGCTTTCCCTCTTTTGATCTGTTTTCTGCATATGTTTTTTTTTTTTTTTAAAGATTTTATTTATTTATTTGACAGAGAGAGATCACAAGTAGGCAAAGAGGCAGGCAGAGAGAGAGAGGAAGGGAAGCAGGCTCCCTGCCGAGCAGAGAGCCCAATGTGGGGCTCGATCCCAGGACCCTGAGATCATGACCTGTGCCGAAGGCAGAGGCTTTAACCCACTGAGTCACCCAGGTGCCCGGTGATTTTTTTTAAGTTTTTATTTTATGCATATGGGTAGTATGTTTTAAAAATGGTGGCACAAAATGTTTTCATTAGCCTCTAGGCCAAATCTGTAAATAGTAATGACTATTTCAGTATCCCTTATAGTTTTTAATGCTTTGTTACTTGCTCTACAGAATATTTTCTAACAGCCAAGGCCATGATTTCAGGGTTGGCCCTTGATCTAGGAGAGTGTTTTACATTTAGGAGATGCTCCTAAGATACTCACTTAACAAACAAAACCTGTTGCTTCTGTTCTTGGTAGATGGTACAACATCCCAGCTAAGTTTCCCAAGCGAAGTTTCTGGATTCCTCTCTTACACTAACGCTTCACATTTAGACACTAAGAACTGAAAATTTTCCCTCCAGAAAATCTCTTGTATCAGTGTCATTCATCCCTACTGCTACAATTCATGTTCTTATCATTTCTCATATGAGTTAGTATAAACATTGGTAGCTTCCTTTTTCTGTTTGTAGACTCACCTCCTTTATCCAGATTCCACAGTCTAAAGAGCAAATCTGATCACTTTACTTCTTAGTTTAAAAACCTTTCAATGGCTCCCCCTAGCAGCCTTCATTAAAGAGGCAGTGGAGTAGAGAGTATGAGCTCATATTTAGCATTTAATCCAGACTGGGTTCCAGTTCTGTCCCTGCCATTTAAAACCTCTTAACACTGACAAGTGATCTGACTTCTCTTTGCTTTTTTCCATCAATTGCAAGATAATTACTCTTAGCTCAGTGGGTTTTGGTGAGGATTGACTGTGAGAAAACATTTAGTAGGATACCTGAACACATAGCAGGTGCTCAAATAATGTTAGCTAGTTAGGCATATATGGTTCTCTGTAACTATTTCATTTACGTTTTCTCTAGCTGAACTGTATGCCTTTCTTTCCTCTAATATTCAGTGCCCCGGCTATATTTAAGAATCTGTAGTTTCCTGGGTGGGTTTAGCAGTTTAATGCCTTCCAGTACATGAAAAGTGCTGGTATTAGTGGGTTATTATTCAAGACTTAGGTTTGGGGATATTCTAACAGGATCTACCAGCCTGGATTCAGTACCCCTGTAGTGTGTTCTTAAAGGACTCAGGAAAATTCTCTTGGAAGTGTCATACTGAGTTATTGTCTGTCACGTTCAGAGGCTGTTCGTTAGTTTCCTGGTGGCAGATACCTTTTTTTTTTTTAAATGATCATTTATATGTTCTTATACTCAAAAGAGTGTCCAATACATGATAGGGACTCAGTAAAAAGTTTTTTTGAACAAATGACTCAAGAATACTTCGAAAGCTTGGTGCAACCTGGTGCCTGTAGTCAGAATTTGATGTGCATAGGGGATGTATTGATTCTCCAGGAAATTTAATTGCTGAGGTACCCAAAAGAATTGATATTTT